AAAAAACACAAATCTTATAAGTGCAAAAAGGTTAAAGGATAAATTACTCAGGAAATTCATGCTTTAAGGGGAAAGTTTGGAAACGAAACTTTGATATTTCAATATTTATATGTTTTCTTGGTTGCTTAAACTGCATTAAACTGCATGGTGCATTGATTAAGGAAGTGAAAGCTTTTATATAAGCTAGCCACTGAAAATGTTCTTTAGCAAACTACGTAATTTCATGTTAATAAAATGAGACATGTTGCCATTATATTTACTTACATTAATTTTTTACTTGGAAATTCTAGCAATTCGCAAAAACAATACTTACACTTCCTGAATACTTAACATTTTAGTACATTGTTATATAAAAATGATTGATTGATTGTTGGTGTTTAACGCAATTTTCAGCACTATTAGCTTCTCAAGTATTTTGCGGCGATTAGTTTTTAGTGGTGGAGGCCCATGGAGTGCCCAAGGAACCACCTACCTTCGACAGGAAAACTGGCAATGCCCGTCAACAATACATTAGTTATATTTATTAGTATCAAGGACGAAATTACTGTGTAGGTGTCACAACAAAAAGATCTACCAATCAGCATCAATAGCCTTTTGTAAAAGTAGGCAACCTCTTACCAAACAAAGGAGTTTTGATATTAATATTTACTTCAGCTACATGTTTTAAAAATAGAAATATAAAGGCATTTGAACCACTTTTGTTTCAAATTTAATTGGCCATGGTTTTGCATTAAAACTTCAATGTAGATGTGCCACATAATAATTTCATTTAAGTCATTCAGAAAAACATCTAGCGCTATTTTTTTTAGATCATCTGTCAAGCATTGATTGAACATTTGCATATTAAAGATAGTACATGTACATTAAGAATATATATATGGTAAAAATGAAGTTATTTTATTCTAAAATATTTATACAATTGTGAGAAATGAAAATTGTGGTTGAATTTATCCAGTTTTTTAATTAATTTTACGTCATCTAAACTCAAATATATATATATTGCACTAAGCCCTCTGTTGTTGATCTGACAGCGACTTTTGGCGATTTTCTCACTTTATTTTCATATTTTTTTCGTTGGGTTTCTAATGGTGCGAAGATCTCACAACAATAATAAGTGGTATTAGTTGACATGAGAAAAAATGTACAAAATGGTATGTATGAGTTAAAACAATCTGACTAAAATTCAGATATACCACGACTCGCCTGCAGATATATCGTATGAGGATAACGAAATCAGAGATCTACATTTTAATTAGATTGGGATTAACTTTATGAGATAGCTTAAAAGCAGGTATGTTACGGTAAATTTGAAGTGCTTACTATTTTTAACTTTATATCAATATGTGTATTATGAAAAAAATCCCTTCATGTACCACCTCCATATATGCACTTTTAAACTTTGAACTTCACTAAAATCTACCAAGCAATGTAGGAAGAATATTGCTCTATACATAGTTGTTTTTAGACTAACTGATGGGTATATGAATGGAAAGAACAAAGAAAAAATGACGTAGGGACAAGATGATTCCTTCATTTCCGCTATATATTATATAAAGGGAGAGAGAGAGAGGAACGAGGTTTATAACAATTGTTTTCCATTCGTTTGATGTGTTTGGGCTTTTGGTTTTGTCATTTGATAAGGAACTTTCCGTTTTGAATTTTCCTTGGAGTTCGGTATTTTTTATGTTTTACTTTTTTTTATATCTTTCATCGATATCTGTGTTTTACGTTCTGTCGTATTTTATTCGCCCAGCTTTGAACCATCTGGTTTTCTTTTCTTTGGTTGAAAGAAGGACAAAAATAACAAGGAGACAGTCTCAATCAAACCATAGCCAAAGAAAAACAGATGACAGCATGACCAAGGCGAAAAAGTAGGACAGACAAACAACACTCCTTAAAACACTTCACCGAAATGTGCGAACACTACCTAAACCCAATGGTGATTGTAGTTGCTCAGGAAGGGTATTCAATCTTCCACAATATTAATTTTCAGCCATATTTGATAAAACAATTAATAAAGTATATAATAATGGGCTAACATTAAAAGGAATTCGCCAGATTTGTTTTTGAAAAGCGAATGGTACAAACAGTATTCCTTCGAATATTGAACGAAAATAAACTTCGAAACATGTCTTCGACATCGGAAAACTATTTTTTACTAAATATACCTTGTTTGTTCATTAAAGTACCTCCATTACCATTTTTTCAAATATGGTTAAATCATTTTCTGCCGATATTAACAATATTATTTAGCCAAAAAAAGCAAAATGGTCCATATTTGCAGATGGTGTTTGTTATGGCAACTGCAAAAGCTTCATTAGAAGGCTGCATCCTGACCTATATTATATTAATTGCAGGTTAAAATAATGAAAAAATTCCCTTGGCCTATAAACGATAAATCTATTCTGTTTTGACATATAAATATTCAAACCTCAGGAAACATTTAGCTTTTTTTGCAATTTTATCATTTTTGGAAGTTTTTTCAAGAAATGCAATTTTCTGTAAATATTGCACAATCAACATTTTAGTTTGCATTTGATTTGGAATTATGGTATTTTTGTTTTATAAGATTAAGATAATTTTTAGAAAAGAAATATCATACAAGTACCAGAAAAGGGCATTTTGTTTTATTCTATTAAAATTTACGAATTTTCAATTTTGACCTTTGACCTTGATTTAACGAAAATTGCACCGTACGAATTATTGACGACCGGGCAAAACAGAAAGTACGGTTAAAAAGCTTACGAATGATATATAATATAGCCGTATGCTAGGTGGGTGCATTAAAGTCGTTAAATAAGCGTATTTTTGAAAACTGTCACTCGCCTACTTAGTTGGCCAAGTAGTCCGCAAATATAACACACATGTGGCAATCATGTGTGACTAGCAAATCAGAGGCAGATCATGATTAATTTGAAAAACGGGGCCCTTGATAAGCCAACGTTTGGGGTGATACTTGTAAAAAGTCTAGGCTTTTATCATATACGAAGCTCAATAAGGGGACCATTGCTGTTTGATAGACGTTTTGTTTCTTAAAAGAGCATATTAGTCTCTAATTTTTATTGTCCTGTAAGTTATTTTGGTTAACCTCCTACGTATATCATTCCAGGTAAATCGTGGAATCTATAATGAAGGCAATTGATTTGAACTTCACTAGTTCAGACAATAAAGTGAAAGAAATAAGTGCAAACATTCGTATTTGCATCGCCATAATCATCTGCATGCTCATCCGCGGCGATGTTTATCTAAATATAGAAAGATGATAAAAACATTGATAAATACTGTATGTATTAGAAAATATCTTTCTGTCGACTTAGTCCCAATGGACACGATAACATGAATAGCTATATCCGTAGTTCTTGGCTAAAATATATCTTTTATTAGGCCAAATACTATAGTACCTTTTCCGATCAAATGCCATAACATGGATGTTGACCAATTACAATGTTTCATTTTTCATTCAATTACAATTGTTTAGTTTAATTGTCGTCTAGCAAAGACAACGAATGTTTCATCGTCATAAATATTTTAAATAAAATAAATTAAAAAGAAGTTGAATATTATGCTACTAAAAATGAATGATTACGATGGTTGTATAAACATTAAACGAGCCCATCAAAGGAATTCCACGTCCTTTGATTCTAATCCATGTAATAGAAAGTATTTTTATCGTTGATACAAAAACTGTAACATAAATGTATTGTGAAAATCATTCTTTTATATAAAATATAAATATTTTATACTGTTTTCTTGAGACGTACCATAGTCCTTAAAGTTGAGCCCTAGTGAAATAAGGCATGATTGGATTTTAAAATAAGACGGACTTCCAAAATTTAATGGAATCTGTGAGAACTCACTCACAACGAGTTCAAATATAGCAGTGAAATTGATTACGGTAACAGATCAGTGATTGAGCCAAAAACTTCTTGTGTATAACATAATCACATTGGCTATATAAATATATTAAAATAAAAAAAAAGTCATTTCTATTCTCATTGGTAAAGACCGACTAATATTGGAGTAATATACAACAGATTTAGTGTGAAGACGTCACAAACAATCTGAGAAAAGTCCAACCTTGAATAAAAGTATAGACAGGATGTAGTACCACAAGTGTTCATTACTGTACAGAAAAACATATATAGTTAAATCTTTAATTTATCAATAAAACAATCTGTTTTCTATGTCACTTTGTCTCCGAGAATTGTATGATGCCATTTCTTTTACACACATTAGTAAGTATCTCAATTATCATGTTTCTATTTTCTTCTTCTTTCGTGGATGGACCTTTTCGGTATGATACATTTCTGTTTACTGGGCTGTATTTCTTTCATGGATGGACCTTTTCGGTATGATACATTTCTGTTTCCTGTGCTGTATTTCTCTCATGGATGGACTTTTCGGTGTTCACTGGCCTGTATTAAACTTATTTTGTTGTCTAGACTGGATTGGAATGTCGGATTCCTGTTTTACGTTGAAATAGGCCTGAACTTTTCAGTTCAGATATTAAACCTTTAGACGTCACAGTTTTTGTGACATGAAATACTAGTATCAGAAACAGTCTTCAGATCCTAAAAGATTACTATCCTTGCATAATACATCTGTAGCAATATGCCCCCATTCGTAAGGTAACTGCTGATCTCTACATAACATGAGACAATTTTGATCGTTTTTGGTAGCTGTTTCTTTAATATAAGAAGACTGAAGGCGAACAATACATATGTTTGACCAAACTGAAATACTATGTTACAATAAAATTGAAAATGGAAACGGGAAATGTGTCATAGAGACAAAAACCCGACCAAAGAGCAGAAAACAGCCCAAGGTTTCCAGTGGGTCTTCAACACAGCGATAAAATCCCGCACAGATGTCTGACACACTAGTACTTTTTTAAGTCCGAACCTATCAAGTTCTGTATGTGTGATTTTAAAATGTTTCCCTTCTGACTGGGTACTCAGCACGTGGTAAACGAAACGTAAGAAAAGTAACTCAAACCACAATTCATCCACTAACATTTTATTTTAATTTACAGAATAGTGTATGCAATAAATAAATTAATATCATAATTAATGCATGTTAGCACCATTGCTATTATTTTATTGCACTCCACAACTAATCAATTCGGTAAAAATTAAACATTTAAATAACAGTCATATAAATAAAAATATGATTAATTTTGTTCTTCATAATTCATAAAAAAAATGGATGGAGATCATGATTGCAACGTTTAATTGATACCCCTTTGCCACTATGCTTCAAAAAGCAATAAGGTTGGACAGCATTAACGATCTTCAAACTGACATATAACAGTATATACTATGAATTCAGAAATTATTGCCATCATTTATTATTTTGACATGCTATTTGACATGCCGTAACAAACTAAAATTGGTAATTGACTATTGCTTTTTCATGAACAACTGCATACAGATAACAGATACATGTATCATATCTCAGATACGAGTTCTAAGTATTGCGATACTCACCTGGTGAATAATGTTGGTGAGTATCGCAATACTTTTAACTCGTATTATAAAAACCTCTTGTCAGAGATTATTAAGAGGTTTTTTATTAATGTGAATAATGCGACCAGGTGAGTATCTGATTTATAATACGTATATCTGTAATCTGTATGCAGTTGTTCCTGAAATTGCAATAAATTTTAAGCAGTTAGAAAAAAATGGCATAGCACCTTTTAGGCAAAGGGAAGGGCTTCATACAAAATGTGCTACGTCACTTGCTTTCATATAAAACTTACAAAATTTTGATACAATTCTAAATTGAAGGCTGGTAGAAGAACAGATAAGAAGAGCATAAAAAGCGTTACCGACAATAGAAGTAAAGCGACATCAATATTTCCGAAAATATCACTGATTGTAAATTTTGTAAAGGGATAAAAATAGTGAGAGAAAGTGAAAAGATTACAATCGTGTTTCTCTGCAATTTTCGCACTGATCTAAGGTATCATTGAGAGGTTCCAGTTCATGATCTCCTGTAATTTTGACATCGCTAGCACTAAGTCTCGTTAGTCCTGTGTTAACACGAGATATCGGTTTGGAGCAATCCTTCTGACAGTTTTCCAGTCTTATCTTTGGACGATGCCACTCACATAAGAAGAATCCAACACCAAGTCCAAGAACCGTACAGAGGAATATCCAAACATTAAAAGTCATTATCACTAACATTAGAACATAGCTGACTATGATCTGAATACTGTAGAGTAAAGTCTGTAAAGCGTGCTCTCTCGTCAAAGCTGAATGTCTGAAATCGAAAATAAAAGAAACTGAATTTCTCCTTTGGGGGCAGATCTAAAGTGTATTGTAAAAATAAACATTACACATATGTTTGTTCGTTACTTTTTCAAATTTATAAACGTTGCTGAAAGATCGAGAGAAGGTTATCTACTACCCGTACTGGTATACTACCTGTTACCGTCAGCATTGAGTTTTTCTTGAACATTTTTTAACAGGCATTCCGTTTGGATCGTTGCTGTTATATAATGAGGGTTACCAGTGGTTTGGACGAGGTCCATCGATTCGGATTAAAAATCTTTTTATTGGAAACGAAAAGTTGGTTCGTCATGTACTAGTAATCGCGTGATATTATATGGGTTTGGGGACCGACCTACACTTATGAATCTAGCCACTAAACAATAGTAATTTGCATTATATATTTTCTATTTGTAGAAGGGGAGAAGAAGGTTTGTCATGTGAACCAAACACATTTACTCTGAAGCTATTCTTCCTTTCAGTCACAACTTATCACGAATCAGTGTATATTACGAACAGGAAAGTAGAGTTTAATTTTGAAATTTATAAACCTTTTCAAATTCTTTGAAAGGAATTTGTATCTCAAGCAAGCTTAAATATATTGGTTTGTCTGAAAACGGTAGGTTTTTCCAAAACCGAGGACAACTTATAAAGCAGTGACGTCAAGTCGTCGCACTCGAATCTTCCTACGAGTCGTACAAATAAAGAAAGCTCGATCGGCATCAATTTTTCATTATTATTAAAGACAAAATCTGAATTGCCAGTCGAAGAAATCGATATTTTGGTTTGAAATCTAGTTCTCGCATGAAGAGATGTCTCTTGTATCCCACAGAACGGAACGGCCTCATAAGTAATTGTAGCTCGTGTTCGCCTCGAGTGTAGGAGATCGTGAAGTCTTGTATTAGTCTCAGCCGAAGACGCTTAACAAGAAAATAGAATACACGAAGATATTGTTAAACCATAAAAGAATAAAATGATCCGCTGGGCGCAGCTTTATACGACCGCAGAGGTCGAACCCTGAACAGTTGTGGCAAGTATGGACACAACATTCAAGCTTGATACAGCTCTGAATTTGGATTGTGATTAAATATTTGACACAGCATAGGTTTCTAACACAGAATGAACGTGGTCTTAAGAACTTAAAATTTTTTAATTTACCTATTATGGTCCAATATCCAAAATCTAAATACATACACGGTTAGATTCAGCATATCAAAGAACCTCAAGAATTCAATTTTTGATGAAATAAAACCATATCATTATCATTTGCTTTTATATATAAATCAAAAATAACCAACTTCAAATGGAAAATTTTAAAGGAAAAAAAAATGAAAAAAAGGGGGGAAAAATGAAAAAAAAACAAAAAAAACTCAATTTTTTGAACCCCCTTATGATTCATCACCCCCGAACTCAATCCCAGCCTTCCCTTTGTGGTATGGTACCTTGCTGTACAATTTCAGAGAGATCCATACACTTGAACACAAGTTATTGTCTGGAAACTGTAAAAATGCTTGTTTTTTTTGGCCCCAAATTCCTAAATGTTTAGGGCAATTACCCACAAACTCAAACCCAGCTTTCCCTTTGTGATATGGAACCTTGTAGCACAATTTCATAAAGATCCATACACTTACACACAAGTTATTGTCCTGAAACTAGAAACATGCTTGTTTTTTGCCCCTTTTTGACCCCTAATTCCTAAAAGTTTGAGGCAATTACCCCCAAAATCAATCCCAGTCTTCTCTTTGTGGTATGGTGCCTTGCAGTACAATTTCAGAGAGATCCATACACTTGAACACAAGTTATTGTCTGGAAACTAGAAAAATGCTTATTTTTGGCCCCTTTTTGGCCCCTAATTCCTAAACGTTTTGAGCAATTACCCCAAACTCAATTCCAGCTTTCCATTTGTGATATGGAACCTTGTAGTACAATTTCAGAAAGATCCATACACTTACACACAAGTTATTGTCATGAAACTAGAAAAATGCTTGTTTTTTGCCCCTTTTTTGGTCCCTAATTCCTTAAATTTTGAGGCAATTACCACCAAAATCAATCCCAGCATTCCCTTGGTGATATGAAACCTTGTGGTACAATGTCAGAGAGATCCATACACTAACACACAAGTTATTGTCTGGAAGTTACAAAAATGCTTATTTTTTGCCCTTTTTTTGTCCCTAATTCCTTAACTGTTGGTGCCATAACCCCCAAAATCAATTCCAACCTTCATTTTGTGGTATTGAACCTTATGGTAAAATTTCATAGAGATCCATTCACTTAAACTAAAGTTATTGTCCGGAAACTAAATGCGTCTTCGGACGACGCAGACGACGCAGACGACGACATGATAGCATATACGACACAAAAAATTGTTTGCGGTCGTATAAAAAGTTTAACAACTCGTAAGAATGACGGTGAGATATTGCTTGGGTCAAGTTGAGTTATTTAATTTCAATATAATACAAGCGTCTTTTATTACATGTACATTGACATTAAATAACTGGAGATGATAGCAAGCATAATCAAATTCTCAGTCGCTTTTTAGGTGACCTATAAGTAAATTTCCTATTCAGGCTACAGATTTAGTTGAAATATATTAATTTAATAGCCATCATTGTCCTTTAAATGTAATTGGTGTTGATGGCAGACTTTTTGGTAATCTCGAGGAATTCGGTTGATCTAAACTCGGCTTGGCATATGTCTATAGATGAAGACCCTTATTTTTTCCCTAAAGAAGACCAAGTTTTTTCCTGTTCCAATTAATTTGATGGTTGCATACTGATTAACGTATTTCCTTTTTTCTTTTCACTATTTGATAAGTACATTTAATATATTTCGTAGGATATATAACATAACCTATATCTTTAATTTTGAATTTGGAAGTTCTTTAATTAAAACTATTTTAACATTTTGAAAACAAAAATAAATGTTGTACGAATAGTTTTACTAATATCAGAAAAACAAACAGCTGTTAAAAGAAGTTGAGCATTTCGTTCACTAGTATTGTATTCTTGTATTTTTTAAGAAAAATATTTGAGCAACAATCTGCCTCCTGTACCTAGTAGTTCTCAGCCAAAAATGCTGAATTTCATGTTGAAAGTCGTAACAATTCTTTTTATAGAACTTTTTTTTATTTTGACCACTACGTACTTTTTTTTTTATTTTGACCACTGAGATAGGCAATTTTCTAGCATTCAGCAAAAAGTCACATTTTAGATGAGAAATTATTTCAGATATATAATTGTTTGCTAATGCTAAACAACCATCAAGAAATGACCAATCCACTTTTGTACATTATACTCACTTGACTAGAGGAATATCTCTGTGAACATAGACACGTAAGTGTTTAATACCCTGATACAAGATACCCAATATAAGTGTTCCAAGACAGAGCGCAAAGATACCTGAAATTACAAATATGTGAATAAAGACTACATTTAATTGCTATTTTATCTAATTTCTATATTTTTGGGGGCGGAGGGAGGGGAGGCATCTTGAACCAAAATGATTTTTCAAACTTTGAAAAACAATATACTGATTCAAATTCAATTTAAACCTTTTTAATTTGGAATACCTTTCTTATTCATTTTTCATATAAATACACAAAATGTGAAAAAATATTTCATATTTGCAGTTTTGAGTATCACATAATGTTGTAAGAATCTCGAAGTTCACACTGGAACCAGTCATATGGTGAATTGTATGAGATAATAAAAAAAAATGTGATCTAGCTAGGGAAGAAACTACAGCGTGAATAGGTCCAAGACATCTTTCACACACAAATAGAATCATGTTGAATATATAAAATAGGAATGCATTCTGGCAATTCTCATTAAATTTGCCGCCACATAGACAATGAAAAAGCGTAGTAAATGACAGAGGGACATTGATATTTCAAACAAACTGTCAAAGCAAAAGGAACTAATAAACCGAAGTTTAACTTTGTTATTTGTAAAAGCGGGAGCTAATCATTTCATCGTATCAAAATTGGCTGAATAGATTATGTGTTAAAAAACAGTAAACGATATATCCTGACCGAGTATGGTGTGGGTTATCTAGAGGATTGCTAATACTAAAACCTGTATATGGAGAAAACAGTCAAACATGATAAAATCTTTAAGTTTGTTTTTTTTTACAGTCAATTTATACATCTTGAAGTAAAACCCCAAATCGTTAGATTAATAAATCATACACGATAATATAGTCAAAAATATTTCTACATCAAAACAAAATTAAAGCACAATAGGAATGTGTATATTTATCTTTCAAATTCATATTTTAAAGAAGATTAATTTAGAAAGATACGTGGAAATATCTTATCAATGGGTTCGATAAAGAAATGTTATTAATATATACCAGTTCTCGAGTTCAACAACCATCCAGTGAATAAAACCGGTACATCTAGGTTAAAGTTGAAATAAACAGGATGCTAAAAAAGAAAAGAGCAACTGGAATAAAAAAAAATAAAAAAAACATGTCGAAACTTCTAAATGAAAACGAAATTCTAATCCAGCATTTATCCCCTCTTATTGACACCAATAATAGGCGCCGGAAAAGTCAAAACTATAGAGTAGACAATGATGTAAAATATTAAAATGTCTATAAATTAGCATTTCTCTACAGAGTCTAAATAAATAGATACTTGGTCAGTATTCTGCGGGAGTAATATCATATCTTTAATTAACAGTGTAAATCAAGATTTAAATGTTTCATTATTTTTTTCTCAATTAAAATATGCACAACTCTACTCCGGACATTGCACAGTATCTTATTTTCCTGTACAGTTTATGACATTACTGGATGAAATCAACTCCGAAGTACAGTTCTCAATTTAATGTGAAGGTATCAGCAAGGTAAAAACTTTGAAAAAGAGTGTTTCTGAACTGTAAGGAGGAGGGTTGAAATCTAAAAAAAAACAACTGTTTAGCTCATCAAGTCAGGAACCGCGCAAGTATTTTTAACAATCTGCTTGTGTCCTTAGGGGAATCTTGTGTTGGTGGCAAGCCATTGATAGTTTGGCTGTTAATTTATTTAAAAAACTTTTCTAGAATAGACTGTGGAAACGGGGAATATGTCAAAGAGACAAAACCCCGACCAAAGATCAGAAAACAGCCAAAATCCACCAATGGGTCTTCAACGCCGCAAGAAAATCCCGCACCCGGAGGCGGGCTTCAGCTGGCCCCTAAACAATAATGTATACTATAGTTCAGAGAAATTAATGGACGCCACAATAAACTTCGAAATATACAAATGAGCCACAATTAAAAAAAAACAACACACACACATGCCTAACAAAGGCTAAAGGTTCCTGACTTGGGACAGGCGCAAAAATCAGCAGCGGCGGTGTTCAACATGTGTTTAGATCTCAACCCGGGGGGACTCTAGACTATTTGCAATTTAGAGATTGACACGTATGTTGACTTTTTGATTTTGGTCGTTGTGAAGCTGTCTCATTGGCGTATATTATCTCCTTGTCCGACGTTTTGTCCGCCCGTCTGTCTGTTTGTTCAACGGTTCGCTCGTTTGTTCGTCCACCTCGTCCACATTAAAATAAAGGGACCTTGACCTTCATTTTAAGCATGAATAAATTTGGTTAAGGTCCAGGTCTATGAAACTACAAATCACAGAGGAATATTCTATTGAAAGTTGATGTATCATGTTTAGCACTAAAATTTGGTCACATCTATTAATGACTGAAGTTTAAAAAAAGTAAAATAAATAACGGCATGAGATGTCGTTAATGACAGCACATTTCTTTATCCATATTTTGGTTAGCCCTTTCAATGTAGATGAAGTGACAAAATCTGGGCCCTTGCTGTCCGCAGATTCCATCAGTGAAAGAACTATCTGTATGAGAAAGTCACTTCCTAATTATGTTTTTTTTATAGAGGGTGGTTTTGTATTATAATTTGCCAGTACAAAACGACTTACATTGTGTTCTGCATGTTGTGTATGATGAGAATGATCACTAACGATAGGAGCCGGCGTAGATGACGGATGGTGATGCTGGTGATGATGGTGCTGATTGTGGTCCATTCTACACAAAAGGTTCACGTTTTATGCATTTCTTTAACTCCTGCAATTACATGTTTTTCCAATTAAATTATGCGTAATTAAAAGTGTTAGCATCGCCGTCTTACTGGGAAATATCTTAACCTTCCAGTAAACAGCTTTCTTAAACTGAATGAGGTAAAAGTCTCTTGCCAAAAATAATTCACCACCTATATCAGAATTTTCCCACGAACTCGTCAATAAAATATATATATAATAAGAAAAGACAAATAAAAGCTACACGTGAAATTCTATACTACAATAATGAAAATGTCACTTATAACATAAAACAATTGACAGCAAAATTAGACATGAATCTGTTAGATTTATCGACATGTATTTACTGATAATTGTTTAGTAATTTTCAAAGTGACAACAACATAAACTAGTTCAAGGTAATTACAACAATTTACACTCAGTCTGATATCAAGCTACTGTTTTCGTTACGCTGAACTGACAAGTGCATAACATACAACCAATGTTTTCTTCAAGGCAACACTATGATATGGGTTGATAATTCTTATAATTCTACAAACATTTGAATGTAATTGATCAATTGGGATTTATTTTCCCCTTTTTATACGCCTCGATAGACAATTTTGACGAAACTAGATGTTGACACGCGATACACATGAATGGAATCATCGTGTTCAAGAAATTGAAATTGAATAAAAAAAAATAGTAACAAATGCAGGGTTGAGAATTATCGATTTAAAACTGTATTTTGGACTTATATTCAGTTAGTGAGTCATTCGGCCCATGCAACTTCCACATTTTCAATCTAGACTAGAGGTTATTGACTAGTGTGTAAACCGGGCCGATTAACTCACAAACTGAAGTCTTCGGACTTTTATTCAGTTTGAGAGTTACTTTTCCGAGTTTACACATCCATAGCATCTAAAAAAAATGTTTAATCCTTTGAAAAAAACACATTTAAAACTTATATCAGACCTGGAATATACTTCAATTGAACAGTTTAGATCAGTAATCACCTTTAGTAGAAATTTAACAACCCTTAAAAAACAAAACAAAAAAACAAAAAAAAAAGTTTTTAAATTACACCTGCAGTTCTCATTTAGAAAATTCTAAAGTGACACCAACCTTACATTGTTTCGGGGTCTTGAAGTCTGCGCTGACAATTTGGATGTTGAACTGGTTATCCCATCATTAGGGAAAGTTAAAAGGAATATTATCTCACAAACCTCGGTAGATTCCAAATGTGTGCCAATTGTATCATCTTATTATTTTTTCTATTAAAGTACGAAATTCCATATTTAAAAAGCGAATATAAAACTGAACTTTTATTGGTGTCACCACTTTGTTTAAAATACGATGACGCATACAACGTTTTACAAAACGACTGTCACCGGTGACATAATATCTTAATCTTCGAAGTGAAATCCTTGCGGTCATAAAATCCACTGGGGACAAGGATGTACATGTACATAGTAACTAAACTTGCTGTCACTAAAATCACATGAAAATCGTTTCTGGTCAAACAAAAAATCAAACGAAAGAGTGCTTATTCGAATAGAAAACAGAAATACGGCGATGATAAACAAATTAAAAACACAGGAAAATAAAAAAAGTACAATATATTTACTAATTCGTCAAACTTTCGATGTGACGATGAGTCGTATAGATATAGACAAGGATTTGTATAGTAAGACAAATCCTTGATATAAATAGATATTTTTTTAAATTTCAAATAGAGGACCCATTATGGGCAAAATCAGTATTATGATTAGCACAATAAACATTTACACTATAGATAATACAAAAGAAAAACAGCTCAAGTATGGAATATAACATGAGTTATTAGTTATAATATATATGTGTTTGAAGAATGTCTAATATTTCAAAATGAGACTTTAATATATACAAGCTTACTTACTTATATTAACAGAACAGATGCATACACAGATATTGTTTTTATTTAAGAAATTCTACATCATCCAAAAATATGACAACGTAGTAAAGAAATTATGTAAATAATGGTTCTCAACCGCTTGAAAGCAATACGTATTTATAACAAGGTTGATAAGTTCATTCGTCGGTTATAAATATTTTTTCACAAAATAGATCGATATGAGAAAATATTCTTTGTGTATCTCAAACTTGATCTTGTTTATTTATCATTTAATCACAATGTGTCAACAATAATAACAATAACGGTATCTTACCTGTTTGATAATGCTGTGATTTCATGTGTTGTTTATATGATCAACGTGGACGGTGTTCTTTCGTCGATGTTTCTACATTTAGTATACAAGAGGTTCAATAAAGGATTTATATATGTGATATATAAAAACAGTATTATTGGCTTTTCGAAATAACTAAGACCAACAGATGTAAAGAACATTTCATCAACCTGCATATGCTAATTCTTGCGTTTTCGATTCCACGGGTGTCATTCGGTATATCGAGAAAAATGATCGTGAAAGAATAACCAACGGTGGTCAAACATTGCGATCGGATCGTGAATGCAATTAAGAGTAATTCTATTTAACACCTGTGAAAAATCTGCTGTATTTTCAAAAGGTAGAACAAATCAGAAAAAAAAATTATGTCTGTCAGAATGATTCAACTTCCTTAATTATATTGTGCACTATCGTAGTAGTTTTTAAGAAAACACTAAAGGCGACACACAATCCTATGAGAATTATTAAGAAACAAATCACGTTTTGTATCTATAATGATCACATTCCAATATATCATGATATATTTGAAACTCATCTTTACATTTCGAGTCAGATAGTTCAGTAAAATAAAAAGTATGTTATTACTTGAAAAAGTTCATAATATTTTTGAAAAAGTATATTATTGTTGATTTTTATTCAAAATTGATCCCGAAAGATCAGGCAACGCATTATTTTGATCGTGAAAGTCAAGGCGTACCTAAACTGAATGATCAGAATACAACATTTCTTTTACCAATTGATATACCTGTAATTAACTGATGCGTGTAATTACTTACTAAGAACGTACAGTAATGTTCATTTTTTTGGTGATGTATATATATATTATATTTGCCTTCGGGTTTATATGATCCGTTCATCCTATTTTGACTCCTCAAAATTCAAGAGTCTATCCTAAATTGAGGTAAATTGTATGGCTTTCCAAATACCGTTTCGATTCCTAACATCACTGAAGAGACATTAATTGTCGAAATCCGGATATGGTGTACAAAAACCTTTGCACCTTTTGTTTGCGGTATATCATATTTTCCGCAAGTTTATTGTTTTCTGTTTAGTATAATTAAGATCCATTTATTACATCGGTGATCCGTTTATTTGGCAATCGCCAATGGCAGTCAGCAGGGTTTAAGAACATTTGTTGTTCGACCTGTTAGTCAAATGCGTTTTGTTAAAATATACTTTTTCACTTTTCTTGGTATTTTGGAAAATGTTGTTTGTGCTGTATTTAGACCCCTCTAACAAGAAATTTGTTTTGCATGCACGCGTATAAAAATTGCAGTTTTTATCCAACGCAATCATTGGTTTGAACGTTGTTTTCAATTTAGACTTGTTTATATATATATGTATATATATATATACACTATACTTATAGCTCCATATTTATACCTGGTTTTTTTAAGAGGCAATGCTAACTAGATATCCAAGATAATAAGACCTCCAGGTGAGTAAATTGTCGAAATGTAAATATCTATGTATTTATAATGCTAAATGCATCCAGGAATGAGTGAAGCGAGAGGGAGTCTGGTTGTCTTCCCCTGGAAATATCTTAATGTGTACGTTTATGTTTTCGTAAGGGTTTAACTTAGATCAAAGAAGCTTTGGCATTTAACTTTACATAAAGGTATATTGAAGATGTTCTTTCCATTAACAATACAAACTGTTCTGATTATTTCCCATGTATAGTCCTGAACTGAACTGGAAATTACAGACACCACATATACAGCTTCCTCGGCCTCATTTTTCGAAATTTACCCAGAGTTTGACTACAGCGGTCATCTCAATAGCAGAGTCACTATGGCAAACGAGGAAATGATTTTAATTTTGAAGCTATACAATTTCCTCACCTTAGCAGCAATTGAACAACTTCTTCTGCGTATGCATTTCTAAACTCATACGATAAGCGGGAGCTTGCAGGTACTACTCAGAATGTCTAGGCAAACAAATAATGAGCCAGGGTTTTGTGAAAGAACGTTTTATCCTTTTCTCAAAAAGTTCATTGGAAAGAACCAAGACCTAATAGATAAATATTCAGGTTCTACTTCACAAATAATATAAAATGGTGTTGAGTGATAGATTCTAGGTACTGACTCTGTGTAGAATTTTACATTACAGGTTTACCTTTATTTGTCTTGTATTATTATGTTCCATTTGGTCGTATGACTCTTGACGTGGTTCGGTATATATGTGCACCCAGCTTTAATTTTTTTCGGCTTTTGACGTTCCTTATGTGGATGGGACCAGAGATGCGATTCGGACACATGAGGTTTTTATAGTGTTATTTTCATTTTGTATACCCTTATATTTATATTTTACTTTTTTTTGTATTTTATCGGGAAGTGTATATGTCATTATGCTTCACTATATTAGTCCGAGATTACTCTGACGTCCAACGGCTGTTTTGCCAGACAAGCTGGGGTCCCACGGCCCCAGCTTGTCTGGCAAAACAGCCGTTGGACGTCAGAGTAATCTCGGACTACACTATATAGACTGTATTATTACCTACAAAACGTTTTTGGTTGGCGTCTATTCTTGATTCAATTGTAAGTGTGTTTGAACGTTTAATTTAATCGTGTTGTATGTCAGCTATGTGTGTTTACACAGTTTTTTGCTGCTGGATCCCAGTTATGGACACGTTAACCAACTATGTCTGTTTGGGTTGCTCACCCAATTTGGCAATGTAACGGGACATTAAACAACTGTCATACAAGTGGGCGTTTTAGATAGCTAGAAAACCAGGTTAAACCCACCATTTTCTTAGGGAAATGATTGTGACAATTCAGGAACATGACAGTTGTTTTCCTGCGGTTTTGTTTAACAAAGTTTTTTTCTCCGATTTTTACAAAAATCAACAAGTATCTTCGTTTTATAGATGTGACTTTACATAAAAATTAATGGAAATCAGTTGAGACTATCTTAACTTTTCATACGACATCAAACGTATGCAGATTCAAGAAAAACACAAAAACTTAACATTGAGCAATGAACCGTGAAAATGAGGTCAAGGTCAAATAAAACCTGTCGACTGACATGTATATCGTAGAATATTTCCATACACAAAGTATAGTTGACCTATTGCAAACAGTATTAGAAAAAAACAGACCAAATCACAAAAACTGAACTTTAGCCACTGAACCATGCAAATGAGGTTCAGATGACACCTGCCAGTTGGACATGTACACCTTACAATCATTCCATACACCAAATATAGTAGACTTGTTGCTTATAGTATCTAATATATTGACTTGACCACGAAAACTTAACCTTGTTCACTGATCCATGAAATGAGGTCGAGGTCAAGCGAAAACTGTCTGACAGGCATGAGGACCTTGCAAGGAACGCACATATCAAATATAGTTATCCTTTACTCATAATAAGAGAGAAATTAACATCACAAAAATCTTAACTTTTTTTCAAGTAGTCACTGAACCATGAAAACGAGGTCAAGGACAATGCACATATTACAGACTGGCGGAAACTTCACAACATAAGGCATCTCTATATAAAGTTTGAAGCATCCAGTCTTCTACCTTCTGAAATAGTAAACTTTTAAGTAGTTAGTTAACGCCGCCACCGCTGGATCGCTATCGATCTTATGTCTCACTTTCTGCGACAGAAGACAATGATTTGATCATTTTCGTGATTTTTGAAATATTGAATAAGCGGCAACAGATCTTTCACGATCATCAAAAAGCCTTAACCGAACTTTCACGATCCGAAATATCAAATATTCCCATTTTTGCAAAGTTTCTGTTTACTCTAAAACGAAAAAACTTTAAGAACCATTTTAAACAGTAATATGGAACAATATTTTAAGAGAAAAGTAATTTTTGCATTCAAAATATGAAAAAAAATCATGTTTGTTTACATTTTTATTTCTTTGAAATATCGAGGAGCAATCTGCCTTTTGTAGTTTTGTAAAAACGGTGTACTTTTAAACCTTGATTTTTCTCGGATTCTGATCAAATTGTTGAACTATTTTGACAGACAGTTTTATTTTTCCAATATTTGTCATTATTATTCATTAAATTAGATTATTTATTGACGTTGCATGTGCCTTCTCGATCCTATACCAGATCTTTCACGATCCAATCGCAATACTTGACCACCGTTACTTATTTTTTACGATAATTTTTATCGATATACCGAATGACAGCCATGGATTCGGGCATATGTTAGGGCAGTTCTCCTAAAAAAATATTTATAGCTATAAAACAATAAATTGCAAATATTTTGTTTGACAACATTCTTCAGTACTAATATAAAGAAAAATTCTTTGAATCCATAAGCAAAAGGAGAGTGGGTATATACCAGTTGCCGTCATAAATTCACGACTTGTTTTTATTGTGTTTAACAGAAACTCCTTTGTGAATATTTTTTTTAACATATGAGAGTTTACAGAAGTTATGTTTAGGGCCATAGACTTATTTGCACTTGTTATTCTATTATTCACGAGCAATGCAAAGCGGGTCACTAGTGTGTTGATCGATTTTTGCGTAATAAAAATCTCAACTTCATCCGAAAATGATTATCAATTTTAGTTTGTTTGTAGCAAGACACCACCAAGAAATATAATTTAAATTTTTAGGAAGACCATCACCAAAAGGAAACATCGAAAAAGAGAAGGTGTTGGATAGAGGTAGAAATGTTGCCTTGCAACAAGCCACATATTTTTAAGGACCCCTAAAAGACGGTTGTTGCGTGGTTTTAAATGTACAGCCGGCCATATATGAGACGTCTGATATAATGTCCCCATTGCGACCACAGCCAAACGGACGCCCATCTTGGTTTTATCACCGGATGGGAGAAGTTCAGGGATTACCATATTTCTGATACCGCAGCTACCCCTTGGGGTTATGAAGCCTAGGAGGGGCATACGCCGGATGGAAACTTCCAACAATAATCTATAGATTAGATTGGGATTGTCTAGTTTTTCTACCTCCAAAAATATTTAAAATTTTGTACACTTGGATAAATTATCGTCACAGATACCTGATAAGCATCCCCATGTTTTGCATAATTTCTTTGAAAATTTTGTGTCATCTCTTATTTATTCAA